TTGTGTCAGATCAAATGCTGCCAACACCATCCTATTCAAGTAATTACAGTCTAAATTGGTAAACACTGTGTTAATAGCCCAGCTTTCTGTGATCAGTCATCCCTTACTGCCATTGTTAGGGTAAGTGAATCCAGATAACACAAAGATACCCTGGGCGTGTAGATATGCTAAATACAGCTTAAAAATAAGAAAAATTACCAAATTTCCCATCACCCGAAGAACTGAAAATCCTATAAAATACTTTAGATCAAAGTGTCCCCACAGAAGCAGAACCACCCTGCTGTTTCCTAGTGGGGCTAACATCTAACATAATTATTAACTTTGATCTCTCTCACACACACACACACACACGCGCGCGCGCGCGCACACACACGCGCACACACGCACGCGCACACACACACACGAGCTCTGAGGAAAAATTTAATTTTGAGGGAAGACTATAAATTGAGCACAAATTGTGCAAGGAGTGATTTACAACCAGCAGAGAGGTACTGGGTGTGTATTTCTGAGTTTATGTGGTTTTATGCGCTTCAGTGCCAGTAAACTTAGCTGGCTTTCTGTTAGCCATGTGCATTGGTTTGCTTCTGTCCTACATCCGACACTCATTTTAACACAGCTGAACTCACAGTAAATTTTTTCTCATTTAAAAATATCTGTTATTGTTGTCGGACAACAGAAAAACTAAAACACAGACACTGACATGCACTGTTAAAGACTGAGCTCTTTAGGGAGTAAATTAGTTATACTAGAGGCATATATCATGGCTAAAACAAACAAACAAAAATCAGAATTGTATTTTGGACCAAAACATGAAATATATGAAATATTTAGGGGACATCTGGAACTATATTAATATTTCTTGAAGTGGCCTTTATAATCTGAACTGAATGCGGTAAATGATTTCAAATTACTCTTAGGGATACTATATGTAATATTTGTATGGACAATGTTTCACTTCAACAATTAAATATTCCTCAATTTTTACTTTTCTGAGCGCTTTCTTACTTTTAGACTTATCGACAAGTCTCATTTCTTCTCCTTAAGAAAAAGAAGAGAGAGAGAAAAAAAAGATCCGTAGTTTGAACCCAGTTCAGCTGAAGAGAATGAAGAAAACTGACTGGGGTACCACCAACTGCCAACATGATGGGAACAAAAAGTCAGTTGAAAGTTACGTTATCATTTACTGGATTAACATTTTTGCCTAAAAAGTGCTTCAAATCCAGTTTCTACATTAAACACACACACGCTCACACACTAAAATCTTTCTCATCAT